GATGTTTTGGTGGCGCCCTCGTATGGTTACCTCTCGTGACGTCATTAGCTTACGGAATGCTGTTTGTAATGAGCATGGTGGAAGCTTGAAATCATTACGCTCTCAAAGCAACTCTGCCAATTCCATCAAAATTGAAGTTCTTACATTCCTCTTATTTCTGTCGATGAGAAATCGTTTGCTGACGTCAGAGTCAGCGTTCGGCCAATCGTGGAAAGCCGACCACTGCGATGCTTCCGATCGCGCACGTCGCCAATAGTGACGCGTATGTACTCTGTTCATCCTAAAGGCCGGTTCACACAGCCCCGCTTCCTTACGTTATGCTACGAAACCTCGCGTACAAGTTGCCGGGACAAATGTGCATCATGTTAAGTGTGGCCACCAGTTCAAGGAGGTAGCCTGGCACGCGTGTTGTGTGAACTGTGTTGTGTGAACCAGCCTTTAAGTTGAGACTACAGCCAAAGCTACAAACACGAACTTGCCCGCACTGCTGGCTTTGAGAAGTGCATTTCTAGCACGAGTGCTCGGTCTGCGGGAGAGCGTTTCAAAGTAGCGCGCTCGTGTTCTCGTGCTTGCTGCATTTGACTGCAATTTCAGCTTATGTGTGAATGGACAATAGGAAAGGTGATTATGCGATGATATAATACGCAAGAAGCACTATAAGGACGGCATGCTCTTTTGAACGTTGTGAGAACCGCTGCGCGAGTCTTGGAGGTTCGATGGCGGTTCAGGCGGCCAGCGAGCCAAGGTGACCTTCGGCGAGCTGTTCGATGAACGTTCTGGAAGCCCTGGCGGTTTGATGGTACGGTCGCTCACTTCGGTCTCCAGGAAGTTGCCCAATGGAAGTAGGCGGTTGCCACCCCCGATGCACCGACGTCCAGGGCTAGAACGTAGCGCCGCAGTCACCGGCTTTCTGTCACTATCGTCCCGTCGTCGACTGTTTACGCGCTCACGAAATGCCCAAGTATTATCGAGGAAGCTCGCACTGGAAGCCTGAAGGACCTTTCTCAGCCTTTCATTGAGCGTCCTCCTGAGGCAGCGGACCGACACCGTATAGAGATCTCACTATGGTTATGCTTTCGAGGCAAACCGACAAGATCGTGGACGTCGTCGGCAACCCGTCGCAAAGCGCCGGCGACGACGTTGCTCAGGAGCACTCGCACCAGAGTCGTCACGCCGCTCGACGACGGAGGATCGGCAACGTGCACCGCCGTCCCTCGGAGTTCCCCGACTGGGCCGACGCAGCACCGCTGGTCGCGACCACGGGTATATTTCGCATCACGGATGAGGTCAGTCGTGGCCGTCGGAGGACTCGCTCTCGCGAACCGCTCTGCGGAGATCGCGAGAGAGAAGATGCGGCGAACGGAGCTTGGGAAAACTCGGGCGTGCCGAGCACGGCTCGTAGACTGGGGGAGGCGTCGATGCCTTCGGGACTCGTTGCATCGCGCGAGCTGGTGTTGGAAATGCGCGAGAAGTGCTCGCCAGAGGTGTCCCTGTCGGCCGCGTCGGCTGCGGGGCACAAAAACCGGAAGCCACAGTAGAGCACGAAAAGGTTCATTCAAGGAAGGAGGCACTCCTCGGTTTAGAATGCTGAGGAGATGTCACCGAACACATTCGCCAAAGTGGTCCCGTCGGCAACTCGAAACGCGTGTAACATGCATCGTGGATGGCACAGCTATAAAGCGAAGGAATTACTGGGCGCTGCAGCCAGCTATTGGGTTCAGGAAGGCCCGCGAAAGCATCCCTGCTTTCCCCCAGGAATCGGGTAGTCACTCTAGGGGGTCCCATTCTACGTTGACTTCGGTGCATCCACGTCGGACGTGCTCGAGATCGCACCTCCCCAAAGCACGAGCTTCCGCCGCCGAAGAACGCTGCCCGAGACGATCTGACCGCCACCAACCAGAATGGCGAACTCCGCTGACAGCCGTCTGGCTTTTGGCAACAAAATGTGGCCAACTAGCGACTGCGTCTTTTTTCTTTTTTTTGTCTCATCGAGGCTTCTATGGTGTACTGCCGCAGCGGATCTATTCACGCAGCTCTCTCCGCACCCTAACGGGTGAATGACAACTAGCGTGAGAATGGCCCCGCAGTTGAATTTCGCGAGTCGCCTTCCACCGTGAGCGTCGAGAAGACTGACGCGAGCGTCGCCGGAAGATGTTAATACAATTAAAGCGAAGGTGCCGCGAGCTGGACAAGAAAAACAATAGTAATCCCAGGAGAGAGGGACAAGAGGGACAAAGGACAAACACAGATCTTCAAACACAGCTGGGTGACTGGTGCGTGGTTGAAAAAACCTTTCTGGTCCTGGTATCGAGTCAGGGACGTCTCTATTTCCAATATTATTGTTATTTTTGTCCAGCTCGCGGCACCTTTGCATCGATTGCTTTAACATCATACCTTAAAATGAGTTCGTTCCCTTTTGCTTTGTTGGTGTTATGCTGCTTGGAGCGCAGCGAAAGCTAGGGGCGCAGGGTCACAACTTTGGGAGGTACTGATCTTGTTTGGTAGCACGTATAGCGAAATTAGTAAACGAAGCTAGATGGGGGTTTGCAGTCCTCACTTCGGAACACGGTAACCGTGCGATTTAGAGCGGATCTGGCCGTAATGACGCCAAGGTATCGTGATGCGCGCATTTGTCTGGTCCGCGAATCTGGTTCCCTTAATTTGTCCGCGTGTGAATTCACCTTAACTGCGGGCGATTGCAGGGCTGCCGTTGGACGAGCGTCATCTGCGTGGGTGTCGTGCTGGCCGCGTACTCGGTGAGTGCAGCGCATAGCGCCGCCTAGACTCTATGGCCTAGAGTCACTAAATGAGCTACGCTTAGAGTATCGGCCAACGTTACTAGAACCACTCAGTTGTGAAACTCGCCGTCGAAACCTGGGCCGCTGGAGTCCACCGAGACCGAGCTAAATACGACAACAGCGCCACTCTTTATCATTTGTCTGTACTGTGGTCACCTTGAACTTTTAGAAAGCATGTTTTTTGCGTAAAAACAAACGGAAAAGACTCTCTTTGTATGAAATTTATTGGAGTTTAGTACAAAATGAAGGGCACGCGATGTTTCTATAATCTTTAGTTTGCAAGGTTTTGCGGAACAATTAATATTGTTTTTATACAACCATGCCTCAGCGGTCCTTTCAGGTAGCGCGTCCCGACCTAGGTGCATTTTAACCAGTGTTGTACACGTTCGTAAAAAAAAAAAAAAAAAAAAAAAAAAGTTTTTTTTTGTTTTTTGTTTTTATTTTTGGAACGCGTTCCCGTTACAAGTTCTATCTGCGAAAAAGGAACTCGTTCCCGTTACAGCGTAAAAAAATGGAACGTATCGTTACATATACGTTCCATTTGTATTTTGCTATTTACCATATTTAGTTAAATCAAGTAAAGATTGTTTTCTTTTTTATCTATCCCCTCAATACGCAACATACGATACGAGTTTGTATGTCGCGATGGAAGGGCACGGAGAAGAAGAAAACATACGGAAGCAGGGTTTTTGTTGATATATTCAAGTTAAAAATCTCATCTTTTAACCATATTCATGTTTGTAGGGGACGATTGAGACGAGCCAAATGTAACCACATTGCACGAGCGTTTTACAACGACCTCACACGTTTCAATTTAACAAAGTCCCTTGTTAGAATGTAGCAACAGTTGCTTCTCGATGTTGCTGCCCACAAGACGAGCAACTACAGGAGCGGATATGGATTTTTGAAGGTCAGTCTTGAAAACTACAAATACTTCTTTGTGAAGGTTGGATTTGTTGTTCAGTTTGAAGGTGGGGGACAAGAGAAGAAATAAAGGTTATTTTTTTGTGTATTTTTTTAAGTGACCAATGTTCGGGATACAGGGTGCATTACATGTCTGGCAACCAGTGATTTTGTTGTAACTGTAGTTCTCGTTAGGAAAGTTCAGAAATGGTTGTAGTTGGGGGGCCTTAGATTTCTGGGTGTTGGTGTATGAGGGTTCGCGAAACCAAAAAAAGTAGCCGAGTTTGAAATGACCCCCTTTGTTTTTTCCTACGACTTAAAGCTTTGCTTTTTGTGCCGCAGTTTCGGGCACTCAAAAAAGAGTCAATGTCCACCAGCTCTCCTGGATCCAAAATTATTAGCAAGCGAGAACCACACAAAATTATCCGTAAGAATAGCAGCCAAAGAGTTAACGAGATCCTGCACTTCGTAAAGATATTGCTTTTGTATCGTAAAAATTTCCCTGTCATAAATAAAATCTACCCCACTGGGCGAAAAAAAGGAACGCCGTTCCTTTTTCCGTTCCCGTAAAAATGTAACGCGTTCCCGTTCCAGTTCCAGCGATGCAAAATGGAAGGGCGGCGTTCCTTCGTTCCTCCTAAAAGGAACGCGTTCCAGGAACGCCGTTCCTTGGAACGCCGTTCCGTACAACACTGATTTTAACTTCGGTAGAAATTCGCGGCGCGTCCCCTGGGGAGACGGGGGTGGCACCCCGCTGTATCTATTTCGACGCCAAAATGGCGGATTAAAGTCAAAATGGAAGTAACGTGCAGTTCCTCGAGTGGCCGCTGCGGGAGAAATGGCGGCGTTGTGTTCGCCATTAGCTCGGTTCTGGTGGACAGATTGGGGCCACTTTTTCAGAGCAGTCTCTAGTTCCCAACAGTGGTTCTAGTAACGTTGGTATCGGCGCTCCGTGGCCCAATCGGCTAGTGGGCGTTGCCATCTTGGTGCTTAGTGCAAAGCAGACGGAAGAGTCAATCGGCACAATTAAAAAATGTGACTTCCTCAGTTAGGATGCTCAGGTGATATGATATTGTATTGCTTTGTCGCGAACTGTTTTAACGTTTCTTCTGGAGAACGGAAAAGCGTTTTTTTTTTTTTTGCGATTTCAAATAAAGCTTGATATAACTGGCAACCATGATTTTAAGCACAAAGATGGCTCAAGTGTCTTTACTTTGAAGCGTAGCTTATTTAGTGGCTCTAGCGCGGCCTATGGCGCCCTTAAGACAAGCAGGGCGTATTGTGGGCGTGCAGGCTCACTTGGTACTGGGCGACGGATACCTGACCACGGCGGGCACCTTCCGCAACGACAAGAAGGTGGGCCGGCTGCCCGACCGAGGACGCGTCTTCGAGTGCCTGAACCGCTGCGAGAGGAATCCCCCGTGCGCCTGCATCAGGTACGGCCAGGGGGGCGCACTAGGGCCATGGCAGAGCTCTTTTCTTTCTGTCAAAGTCGGCTTTGAATTATTAAACTGATTACCTACTTTTTACTCCCTATAATTGTTTTTTTTTTATATTTTATTTTGTGATGCGCCGCTATTAGTAATTTTGGGGAGGGGGCCGATGACTCGTCAAGGCTCACTTGTGCAGCTTTTGTTCTCCTTCCTGCATGTACGTGTGCGTGGTGGAAAATAAATGATAAATATTAAGCGATAGAAGCTTGGCAAACTGACGTAATTTTGTGGCAATCCTTCCCTCTCCACTTGTGACACTCATACCGCGCTTGAGATGAGCACGAAATCTGAGTCAGCTAAAGTGCGCATTAAAAGACCGGATCTCCGATTGGCGAGTGAACGGCGTGAACGTCTGCAGAGACTGCCCGCGTTTCGTGCGCAGGATGTCCAACACCAAGAAGCCGTCGTGCGACCTGCTCACCCCGTTCCCGCACGGCAAGCCGCTCGTGGCTAAAGGGTTCATCTACTATGCCGCGGTACGTGGTGCGACACCCTCTCCCGGGTGTTCTTCCCGCGGCGGGGCACGGAGCAAACGCGCTCTCCGTGGTCTCTCGGCGAGTAAGGAATGCCGCACGCACAAAGCGCGCCTCGTGGGCATCGCGCACCGGGCATGCAATTCATAGGAGTTAGGTAAAGCATCTTGCAATGCATGTCTACCGCTTCGTCCTCTACGGTGGATTGAATGCGACGTAACGTCACCGACCAAGAGCCGTCGGTGCCTCGGCCTTCCGGCCCCTGCGTTCACCGTTCAGGCGTGGTAGGTTTGCACAGCCCGGAACGGAATCGGCACGGACCTCGGCAACATGCTTTGGCCAAGCGGCTTTCCGGCGGTTTTGTGCAGCTTGAGAGGCTTGAGGACGCGGCATTTTGGGAAAAGCTCGCGGTGCGAGTCTACGTGGAAATTTCGGAACTCTGGTTGGCTTTCACGGAGGAGTTAGCGAGGCTCGACTTGAGGTGTTGCGCCGCATTTAGCGGCTCGCGGGTTTGCCTATATAGGCGCGGCCGTGCAGCGAAGGAGCGTGCAGTGATTTTGTGTTCTCTGTTCCAGAACAAGTACAGGGACACCCTGTATAACGGTGAGTGAGAACGACGGGGAGTGGTCTCGTGGGCTGCCATCCGCTTCTGGACGGTCCACCTCAGCGCGGTAAGGACGCAGCGACCATCCTGGTTGCTGCGTCCACTTTTTCCGCCGCACTTCTTTTCGGAAGGAAGCGAGGTCATTCAGCCGGCTGCTTTAAAAAGGGTCCAAGGTTTGGGGAAAAGCTGATGTTGCGCTTGGCCAGAAGGCCAGCAGACCTTTGCGGTGGCGCTTAATCATTTGAACACGGGCAGAAGCGGGGTGAAGACGTCACTTGCTTCCTTCTAACAATACGTGCACCAGGAATAGCGGAGGACCGCGTGATCGCGAGGATCGATCCAGGCTTAAGCTGCGAGAGTGTGTCCCGAGCGAAAGCGAGTGATGTGCGCTCGCCAGCTCTGACGAGATCCGTTCGGTTCCGTCTTAAAGGGTAACTGCAAAGAAAAAAAGTTTTTTTTTAAACAGCTTAATTAGGACAAGCATGTCACAAAACAAATCTTCCGCGAAAAAACAAATCTTTTAGCAATATTTACGCCACAGGACGTAATTTAGTCGGGGTCACAACCTCTCCACATTTGAGACTCCCGCTCTTTCGACGCGCGCGGAGTGGCGGTTATACGTCACTCCGTGACGTACAGCAGCCACTCTGTGACGTATAATACCGACTTTGTGGAGCGCGATTTAAGACGGACGAAATAGCCGAAAACTAAAATCAGTCTTGCGCAATAAATATTGCTGTAAACATTTTTGTTTTTGGCGGAAAAATTGTTCTGTGACATGCTTGTTCCAATTAGGCTGTTTAAAACTACACTTTTTTTTTCTTTGCAGTTACCCTTTAACCCGTTGAGGTCGGTTTAACCCTAGCCAGATCGCTTCGTTCAGAGCAGAGATCGTTGCGTTCGCCTTGCCGACTCTGTGCCGTCCCCGACGCAGATTCAGGCGCCGGCGTCAACTACGCGCTGAAGAAGAAGGCGCAGCAGAGCTCCACCTACGAGCTGTACGGCATCCACTACACGCCGGAGAAGGCGGTGGACGGGTCGCACAACACGGACGGCCTGAAGCCGCCCTACTTCGCCCACACGGCCGACTCGTACTGGAACGAGCTGTGCCCCTGGTGGATGGTCGACCTGGCGCAAGACATCACCGTCACCGGCGTCCGCATCAGGAACCGCAAGGAGTGGGGTACGCCTCTCGCCTCACGCGCTCTCCTCACACGCGCGACCGAAGCACTTGCGTCGGGCTGCGGCCTTTTGATCCCCCCCCCCCCCCCCCCCTTCATTTTATGCATACCCTCCAATATACTCACAAAGCCTGGCGGTTCGACGACGGAGCCATAGAGTGCCCGGTCGCAGATTTGGAACGCGAAGATCTGGTAGCGCAGAGCTTCAAAAAGCCATTTCTCGGGGAGCCTGAACGTCAGCGCACAGCTTTGCAGCGGCGAGGACCCGAAACACACTTGTTCGCTCGGGAGAAGTGTGTTTCGGCGTATTGCCGCAGCGGGGCGCCAGTCACGTGGCTCTCCTCTCATCCGTTGTCTGCATCTCCACCTTTTTTTCATTTCGGCGGCCGCTTGTCGTGGAGATCTGCCAGGCTTTGTTGGTATATAGGAGGCTATGTTCTATGCCTAAATTTGGCTCGTACATCATGCACAAAAATTATGCTGGAAGTGTGTTTCCTCGTTTATGCTCCCGTCTGCAGCCAGTTTCTCCTCGGAGAAACACGCCTCCGCGTTTTTTGTACGAGCAACGATGGCAGTGTCCATCGGGGTCAGGTGGTTTGCGTCTCCTCTCCTTACTTCGCTTCTCCTACCGCTATTATCTTCGCCGCGCTTCAACTCCCGCATTCACCTACTCAGTCGATCTGCGGCGGTCGCCATTAGCTTGCAAGAGCTCTCGCTGGTTCGGGTTGCCCCCTCTCTTGAATCGAGGCTATCCTACACTCTGTATAGATGCATTCACTGGACGCCATATTTGAGGGCGATGCTTAGAGCATAGAGTTCTTATAAGGTACGCTAGAAGTTGAAATGGTGCTAGTGCGCTGTGGCAAGTTGAAGCAGACAGCAAGCAGTCGAAAATTGACTTCCGGTAATGCATTTCTATGGGAAAAAGTGAGCGCACTTTCTTCTTGCGCTCGATTATAAAGGCAAATACCACGAATATTTTGTACGTACGTACGTAGGTAGCTTGGAACATTGCTCAGTCAGGCAGACGAAATAATTGGTCGGTTACGGCGTTTTTCTTTCCAATTAATTGTATTAAACACTGGGCTGAAACGGCTTCCTACGTGTATTAATGTGCACTGTAGGAAACTGTTAGTGCGAACACAACGTCGGCGCTTTTCAGCATGGGGGATATACGTGCCAAACGAACAAAGGGCATCTAGAAAACCGAGAGAGACGGTAAGAACTACTCAGCTAGTAACACTGTATCAGTAACTACCGCTGCATGTACGAACGAAATAAATGAAAGACCACGTAATATAGTCCCATTTTTAATACGTAAGTACTGCTTTATTAAGTCTGCTCTATGCGAAGATACTTGTTCCACGTTCAAAACATAACACGCACGCTCAAAATCTTTGAGAACAAGTACCTGAAAAAAAACTGGCCGGCACAAAAAATAATAAAAAAGACACAGATTTTATTGCCCACGTACATTATTCTTTACATTTTGAACGTTGACCGCTCGCAAAGATGCAAGACGGGGTCATTTTCATATAGTGACAGGACTAGCACATTAGCAATATACGGGCGTCACTGGAATGCTGGCAAACCTTGAACACACTCTATATTCCTTTTGATTGTTATTTTGCTTAGAATCGTCGCTCGTTTTTACACACCTGCTGCGGAACAGAGGTTTCGCCCTGAAATATAGCGACGTTAAACATCGTTCGCTGTTGAAGAAAAATGCGCTAAATAAAGCAATTACTTTTACAATGTTAATGAAGGTACATGCAACTCAGTACGATCCAAATAACAAAAGTTATACAGGTTATTTTTTGTCGAGGAGTCAAAATGCATGCGCGTATTCCCATAGGAATGCACAGGAGCACCGCAAAACTAGGCTGGTTGCTGTCTGCTTCAATAGACCTATTGCTATATTACCCAAGCATCAAGGAGAATGCAGGGATCGGTGTTCCACGCGCCGCACGTGCTGGCGTCAGCAGCAGTACCTTTTCTAAAGCTGGAGTGGCGCTGCGCATAGGAGTCTCGCTTCACAAACAACCGACTCCGGATTGAATCCGGGAAAGAGAAGAATGGTTTTGGAGAATTTTCTTCTTTCGAGCGTTGGCCGATGTTGAGGACGGACGCCCTACATCATTTCGAGCTGGAGGAAGTGCCCAGAGCAGCTATCGCTTTAGGTCGAGGCAAACCGAATTTAAAAGGTTATGGACACGCAACTCGGAGACCAGTCTTGGCCGCCGACGAGGCCGCCGAATACCGCGCGACAAAAATATGCGCTCTGCGAATGTCGCTTCTCAGCAGCGCACGCGCGCGTTGGGGGAAGCCCGCTTGACGAAACTAAAGCAAATGGGAAAATAGCGCCATTGCCTTCTCTGCCTGCTAGCCGGAAGCAAACTGATACGACCACACAGACGACCGAAAGCTCGCAAGGCGATTGGCTGTGCGGTCTCAGTTGCCATGGAAATCGTCAATTCAGTCTATTTGAATTTTCGAAGCTTCGAAAAGGTCGTTTTGAACCAGTCGCGCCAAGATCGCTACGGAGATTCATCGTTCTGAAAGCGTTCTTCACCAATATAAGCGTCTTATGATACTGTGTATCCAATCAACTTATCAATCACGCTTATCTACACAGATCTCTTACAATGGTATTGTTCTTTTTGCGTGTTTAAAGATAGGACGATTATTTTTTGATGCCGCCGAGCACTGACGCCTCATGTGGTGGAGGTGCGAAGATTAGCGCTTGTTTTGCTGCGCGAGCACGCGATTGGGCAAGCCCGCTCGACGAATCCACCCAAGGGAGAGAATGCACACTTCCCGACGCATTTTATTAATTTTAAGACTTTTTCAACAGAATAAAATTAAGAAATGTTCTGGAAACATTTCAGATTTAATCATATCAAACGTGACCGTTTTCGAAGTTAATTAGGTACGTGACGCGCTTGTTCCAATTGACAATTTTAATCCACCATTTAGTTTATCTTTCTTTTGTCTTTTCATCCACTACGTGAGCAAGCCATGCCAAAGTCTACGTGAGCCCATGGCAACTATTTGGTCCTGTGCAATCGTCATCACGACTGCGATTGGTCTCGCTTTTTTTCTCTTAGCAACATTGAGTCTTGTGTAGAATTGTTAACGTCAACTGTCCAGCGCGCTATGGAAAAATTTGTACCCAAACAGCGTTCAAGGAAGTTGAAATTTCTTAGTTGGCTTTCATCTGACTTGTTACATTAGATGTTTAAAAAGCAGCGGTACCAAAGGCTGTGTAAAAAATTAACAAGTCAGCCCTGGTATCAAATATTTCCAGTTTGCAAAATGATAGTAAAAAGGCTTGATACCAGCGATGTCCACGTGGAGGAGAACTTTAGAACTTGATACTATCATGTCCACGTGGAGGAGAACTTTAGAAAAGAACCAAATTGCTTTTGGCGTTATGCACGGCCACAAACCAAATATAATGTCAGCGCTGCTTTTTTGAAACATGATGATAGGATCTGTATCGAACCACAGGGAGTGTGTCTGACATTCGCTGAGCACTTTAGCTCAAGCTTATTTTTTAACCTCATAGTACCCTTCCTATTGTCATTCGAAGGTTTTTCTTCCTATTTTGCATACCAAAGTGTGACAGAGGATGAAGCGATGTGCTCTCTTCGGAAACTAAAACCGAAAGAATATGAATTATATCCATTGTACTGCGCATGGTTTAAGAGCTATCTCGATAATCCCAAAAAATCTGGTTAGATTTTCAAACTGTGTGTCCGAGTCATTTCCATCTCCATCTGGCGTACCACAAAGTTCTAACTTCTAACCTGGGACCGCATTTGTTTTTGGTGTTTGTAAACAATTTACCGTCATGTATTAGGAACTCAAAAATGCCAATGTTTGCCGATGACTTAAAACTGTTCCGGAATTTAAACAATGAGAATAGTTGTTTATTGGTACAAAATTATATCCGCTCTGTTGAGCAATGGTGTTTGATTAATAGGCTGTAAGTGAACCTAAAAAAAAGACGTTGGTAATGTCGCTTACTAGGAAGAAGAAAAGCATAGTTTTCGACTATTATCTTTTTTTTTAAACAATTAAGGGGAGTAATTTATGTGCGTTATCTTGGCACTTTTGTAGATCCTGGAATAGATGTTCGTCTACATGTTTCGGGCATTGTTAACGAGCGACTCCGAAACCCGGGCGTCATTTCGCGGCTTACGAGAAAGTTTCGTAATTCCGAATCTATTTTAAGCCTGTATTGTGCACTTGTAAGGTCGCGCCTTGAATTCTCGTCGGTGGTATGGAACTCTGTCGCGGTGTCACACAGTAATTTAATATAAAATGTTCAACGGAAATTTGTACGAATTTTGTACGATGGCCACATTGGCCGCCGTCGCTTTTACGGCTACATTATTGTACTGGTGAATCTCGATCAGTTGTCGCTGCACGATCAAATGATTGAAAGTAGTGTTGCCAACTCAAAAATCGAAAAACCGCAGTCGGAATCCCGAAAACCGCTAAAACCCCGCTAATTCCAAAACACAGCGCAAAACGACTTTTTAAACATTTTGTTTTGCTTTAATTCTTGACAAAGGTATAATAACAGTATAGATCATATCAATGCCTTCTGAAAAAAAGCTTTCCTTATGTTTTGACTAGAAATCTGTCATGCCACGCCACAGTTCACCCAGGTGATCCGAAGAGTGAGCGCATACGAACATGGCAAAGGACCCTTCAGCAGTGCGTGACTAGTCAGACCCGTTCAACTCGTAGAGTCGTCTGCTACCAGAGGAGAAAGGTGCAGCGGCCGAAACATGCTTCTTCGTTGCAGCGTGCATGACCAAATCCACATTCTTCGCAGATAGTTCCGTTTTGAAGTAGCGGCACCTGGCTCGTCTGCTATCACCAGGAACCTCCAATAGCCAGTCTTTAAGTTTGGGGTCTTGTAGCCAGTCTTTTCTAAATTTTTTAGCGTACTTCACCGCGCCGCGCCCATTTCACGAAACAGTGACAAAAACGTCAAAGGAAAATTGGAACATTCATGCTGTTCAAACGTGCGCGCACAAAACGGGGAGGCATGTTCCGATATTTGACGTCTTAATGTTTTGATGACGTCACAGGCGTTACTCCTGAGAGTCAGCGAAGACGACTGTGGCTGGCTTATTATCGATATTATTATGGATATGAAAGGTGCGTAGTCGACAGTAAATCTATATAAAACTTCTATATCGGTAAAAACCGCCAAGATTACATAAAACCGGCTAAAAATCCCGCCGCCCGCAAAACAATAATTTATCCCGCTAAACAGAACCAAAAAGCCGCTAAGTTTAGCGGGAAAACCGCTAAATTGGCAACACTGATTGAAAGAGATATGTATTTCATGCGCCGGGTTGTACGCGGCTATGTTGACTGCGCAGAGTTGTTGACGGCGCTTAACTTTGGTGTACCATCGGGGCGAACTTCCAGGTACCGTGACACCTTTTCTCCTCATGTGCGAGCCCCATGACAGGTCTACAACAGACGCACCATACTTTGCTCGTTCAAGTGGACATTTTTCTGTGACTTGCTCGTTTGATTACTCCCCATGACAGTGCTCTGATGCCCAGGCTACACTGCTGTTGGTAGGCACTCAAATAAATTATATATCTATCTATCCATCTATATATATACCTAGAGGTTTGGGTCTGGCGATTTTTCAAATATCAATGGAATTAAGCAAAAATGAAAAAAGACCCGCAAATAAAAAAAACAAAAACAAAAACAAAAAAAAACGTTGACACTCAAATTTGATTTCACGAACTCATACGTAAACTCAGTGCTTGAAACTGAATTACTGAACCGGAACTCGGAGACCGTTTTATCTGCCGCCGAGGCCGCATACGCCCCCCCCCCCCCCCCCCTCCAAAAAAAAAAAGAAATAAAAAGCATTTCGAAATTGTCGCTTCTCTGCAGAGCGAGCACGGGATGGGGGAAGGCAGCTGGACGAATCTAGAGTTCCTGTATAGGCTCCCTACGGGAGCCAGAGTTGCGCGATCACGTGAGGAGCCGGATCAAGTGCCGTGCAGGAAAGTAGATGTTGCACGCGCCCCGGCGTGCGTTCCCCTGCTTTTGAGCGCACCGCGCGCCTCGAACGCGCGGCGCCGCTAGTCGCCGAATTCAGTCACGTGACGAGCGGGATCAACATGCCGTGCAGGAAAGACGGCGCTACAGAGATGAACGCGCGACTCTGGCTCCCGTAGGGAGCCTATACAGGAACTCTAGGCGAATCCGCCCAAGTTTTCGGTCTGGTAACTTCGGAAATGTCAGTAAAGTTAAAAAAAAAAAAAAAGACTATACTCGGCGACAACTTTTCTTGGCAATGCAGTGGAGGGTACAGGCACGCGTTCCCTACTCTATTTTGAGCGCTGGATAAGGCTGTGTGCGCGGGCTCTCAACTTCCACTGCATTCCCAAGGAAAGTTGTCGCCGAGTATAGAGTGGAATTAAAAAAAAAAAAAAAGTTGACACGCAAATTTGATTTTACGAACTCGTACGTAAAAACAGTACTTGAAACTGTGGATTAACAGAGCGGGAACTCGGAGATTAGTAGTTAAATATCGCACTGTGCATGATCGAGAAGATGCGCTTCTCTGCTCCTGTAGGAGATTCGTCTATACTCTTGCCCCGAGTGTAAAAGAGGAGGAGGCCAGATGACCGTGCCTAGTTATTCTCGCCCTAGCTCTTTCCCGAACATTCTAGGTCGAATATTCGAGATGACTAGCATAGTAATGGGTGTATCAAGGAACGGCCAGGCTCTTTAAATTGACTGCAAAATTTAGTTTCTTAGCCTATCGCGTTCCGATATCGTACAGCGTTGGCCACAGGTGGTGCATATTTTTTAGAGCGCAGCTCTTAGGGGCCCGTTTCCAGCCTGAGCGGCGTCGGCGTCGGCGTCGGCGTAACCGGGGGGGGGGGGTCACGTGACCCCCCCCCCCCGAGTTCACGTGACCCCCTCGAGATCACGTGACCCCCCTCCCCGAGGTCAGGTGACCCCCCCCCCCCCCCCGAGATCACGTGTCCCCCCCCCCATCCCCCCGAGATCACGTGACCCCCCCCCCCCCCCCCCCCGAGGTCGCGTGACTACCCGCAGGTGACGTGACCCCCCCTCAGTACCCTTCCCTACTCCTCCTCAAGAGCTGCGCTCCAATTCGGCGTTACAGGGAGTTGTAAACGGCTTTCACTTTTTTCTATAAAATTCGCACAAAGAGCGAGCTTACCTGTGGAAAAAGTAAAAAAAGAAAAATTCTTAACTTCTATGGGAACGCAGCGAAGCCACCGGTCTTCAAACCATACGGCGCCCTATGGTTTGAAGACTGATGGCTTCGCTGTGTTTCCATAGAAGCTAAGCCTTTTTCTTTTTTTTACTTTTTCCACAGGTAAGCTCGCTCTTTGCAAATTTTATAGAAAAAAATGCACTACCTGTGGCCAACGCTGTACAAAATCGGAACGCGATAGGCTAAGAAACTAAATTTTGCGGTCGATTTAAAGAGCCTGGCCGCTCCTCGATACACCCAGTAGATAAAGAGCCGAGCGCCGTATTGCCGATTCATTCACTGATTCTCTTTCGTTCACGCTTGCTGTCACGCCGACGTACCGTCGCCTGCTGCTGCCGCCGTCAACAGTTGCTGCTGCCTTCTCGATTTATGTTCGTTTTCGTTTCTGGCAAAAGTTCTTCCCCATAAAATCTTAAGTCCATTCCTTTTTTTTACCTCATCGTCTATTACTAGTGACAACGTGCGCACTGCGAATGTCGCCTCTCTGCAGCGCGAGCACGCGATTGGGAAGCCCACTCGACGAATCCGCCCAAGGTTTGAATCCGATAAAGTATCCTAGACTGACGAAGGGATCAGCCCAGTTTCCCAAGAATCTGTAGGCTATTTTTAGTGCGGGCAACGGTTGAAACGTAGCTCGTGAGTGGCTCTAGGAATCTATAATCTATCGGTTCCTGGTTTTAGTGCTTTGCATGTCAGTCATATACAATCACCTGACTAGTTACAGTGTTCAACACACTAGTACAGAAAGTGGTTATAGGCTCTACTAGCACAAGTGTGTAAGGAAATATGCGAATCTGATATCCTTGTAACACTTAACTGGAGTTACACTTAACACAGTCACCTTAGGTCTAGGACTGTGCATGTTTTCACTCCTTCGAAAAGAGCTGTCCGAGAGTCACCTACAGTGCATGGGTAACGGTGATGAAACGAAACTGCAGCTCAGGGTGACTTAACTGCGGTTTTGGGTGCCCACGCAACGTGGGTGTACTTTTTAAAACGTGCTTTCCCCCTTTCTCTTCGTAGTAAGCAAATAAACGTTAAATTATACCATACTAAGATAGAAGAGACAGAAGAGAGCGCAATTAGTATGCTCGCAATTCATTTTATATGCACGCTCTAAACTTTACTTATGAATTTCATTTTTTTTTTTCAAATATTAGGCGACAACATATACAAATCTTCAATGCCGCAGATCGAATAATCATATGTCTGCGATCAGAAACGCCTCAACATTTCACGCCAGCATAAAGTTAGCGTAGAATTTTGAGGAGATTGAGAAAGGCGAAATCGGCGCGGGAGTCACAAACAGGCAAACACGAAGTGGAATCTCGCGCCTCCGAAAAGAAAGCGTAATGGGTAGAAAAAGTCTACGGGCCTTGTATTGGGTGTCTTTGTTTATTCTGCTTAGTTAATTTCGCGCTTTCGAGTTTTTTCCGGGATAATTTCGTTCTGCAGTCGAGTAGCTTCGTAGATTCATGGAGGAGCTCTCGCTGGGCTTTCGCTGCACTTTGAGGTAGGCAATTCTCCCGAACCTTTATTTAAGATTACTGACTCTTCCCAAGCCAAAAAGTTCAATTTCTGGGAGGGCTGTGCTCGTTTTTCCTTGGCGTCCGAGGTGAAAAGGAAATTACGCGGACAAAGGGAGGGGAGGACGGCACGAATAGGGCTGTCACCCAACAAAGGCGCCCGAGTACGGAGTACTGTCCGCAGTGTCCTCGCGTACGGCAGCGGGAATGGCGACGACTGACAGCAGGTCCCCCTCCCCCGCAGGCGACCGGCTGCACGACTTCGACGTGCGCGTGGGGCCCGTGCCCATCACGTCCGAGTTCAACGACGTGCACTTCAAGGGCAACACGCGCTGCCACTACCACGAGAAGGGCGGGATCGAGGAGGAGGCGCTGCTCTTCCTCGAATGCAAGCCGTGCCCCGTGCGGGGCCGCTACGTGTCCATCCAGATCACCCAGAACTGCACCGACTGCATGGAGCCCCTCAAGAACGTGCTCCAGCTCGCTGAAGTCGAGGTGTTCGGCCTGCCCTAGGCTACCACCTCGCCCAAGCTCCGTCCACGGGGTGCGCTCACAGACGACCTTCCACCCAATCGTTGAGGTGCTTAGATAATAAAGCCGCGTCGTTGCACGCCCGTCGTTGTTCGCCTGTCGTTGGTTGCCTGTGGCACTCTCACCAGCGGACGCGTTTATTTATAGGAGGTATTCACTGACGGCCATAGCTGTGTGCGCGACTGCTGAGCGCGTGCTGATGGCGAGCTTCCACAGTTCTTTTTGTAACGTGCATTCCGCACCCTCAAAATTGCCGGTCTTAGCAGCCTATTAATGTGGGCTCGTTCTGAGCATGCGCTCTAGACAGAACCCACCAATATGGCGCCCAGTGAATACTCCTTATAGAGATCAGTGGCAGAGAGCATTTCTCGGGGAATCTAGCGTGCATTTTATACACGCGCGCTTTTGCTTGAGTGGTGACATCTCAGCCGGATTTTTCCGCCTAATCGTTTTTTTTTAATGCATTTTGAAGTGCGCGCAATCCGGTGTCATTCAGCTCGAGCGCGTAGCTTTGGCTAATGCATAGACGCCATTTTACCGCCCAAGTCACGCACCCAGTGCGCGAGAGCGTCACGCGCTGGCACATTCCGGACAACAATGGATGTCTTCACCCTGAGACAGACAGACATGTTAGCACCTAGGGGAATCATAAGGGGAATCTAGGGTGCCTACATGTCTGTCTGTCTCAGGGTGAAGACATCCATTGTTGCCCTGAATGTGCCAGCGCGTGACGCTCTCGCGCACTCGGTGCGTGACTTGGGCGGTGAAATGGCGTCTATGCATTAGCCAAAGCTACGCGCTCGAGCTCAGTGACACCGGATTGCGCGCACTTCAAAATGCATACAAAAAACGATTGGGCGGAAAAATGGCTGAGATGTCACCACTCAAGCAAAAGCGCGCGTCTGTATGAAGGCACTCTAGGGGAATCTGGTGTTCAGCGCACAGCTTTTGGAGCGGCGAGGACCTGAAACATGGTTTTCGAGCCCGATGAGAAAAGAAGTGATAGCGCGAGGAACGCGAGCAGCACGAGCGGACATTCTTTGTGACCTTGATAGTTAGTGCTTCCATAGGCTTCGCATAATTCCCGCTCTAACTTCGGGTAAGTACCATTCGTCAGAACTGGTAATAGACCGATTGCTATATTACACTAGCATCAAGGAGAATGCAGGGATTGGTGTTCCACGCGCCGCACGTGCTGGCCTCAGCAGTAGTAATGTTTCGAGTGCGAATTGGCGACGTGCGCGACCGAAAGCGTCGCTGTGGTCGGCCTTCCACGATTGGCCCAAAAGCTGACTATGACGTCGGAAAGGGTATACCATCGACGGAAATAAGAGGAATGAAAGAACTTTGAATTCGACGGTGTTGGCAGTGTTGCTTTGAGAGCGCAATGATTTCAGGCTTCCACCATGCTATTTACAAACACCATCGAACTTGTTGTTCGCAAAGTAATGACGTCACAAGGGGGAACCATAGGAGGGCGCCACCGAAACATCTCGCCGCTAATACCTAAAACAAATGGCATCTTGCACGCGCGTTCGTCAATGCTTTATTTTGGTTATTTACTTCGAATCTCTTATACGGGGAAGGCAAGCGCGTGTGGCGCGTGGAACAGTGCATTCTCCTTGATGCTTGGGTAATATTAGCGGCGAGATGTTTTAGTGGCGCCCTCCTACGGTTCCCCCTTGTGACGTCATTATCTTGCAAACAACAAGTTCGATGGTGTTTGTAAATAGCATGGTGAAAGCTTGAAATCATTGCGCTCTCAAAGCAACACTGCCAACACCGTCAAAATTAAAGTTCTTTCATTCCTCTTATTTCCGTCGAAGATAAATCCTTTTCTGACGCCATAGTCAGCGTTCGGCCAATCGTGGAAGGCCGACCACAGCGACGCTTTCAATCGCGCAAGTCGCCAGTAGCAATAGGTCTATCCCATCGCTCGGGAGAAGTGTGTTTTGGCGTCTCGCCGCACTCTTCTCTCATCCATTGTTTGCCGCTCTACCTTTTCGCTTTCGGCGGCCGCGTCTCGTGGCGATCTGGCAGGCTTCGGCAGTATAGACGCTTTACACACGCGCCAGAATACAGCCGCCATTGCTGACCTTCTCTTGTTTTACCGAGATACCGAGCCACTGAAATTGGTGTGGACGAGCCTCCAGAAAAGCCAATGCTGGGGAGAAAGACTGAATAAAATCTAAGATGGCAATAACCTGGCCTGCTATGGTAATAATAAAGTGAAGTAAACGTAATAAGGGGAAACAAAAACTGAAGGTCAGTTATGGCGTTGCCCATGCACAGCTGCTGCAAAGCGTCTATACAGGACGCTATGGCAACTGTATTTAAAACCCCTCTATCCTGGGAAAAGTGGCGTCATTCACTGTAGTGTAAACGCTCGAGACACGTGCCGCGCGCCACTTCTGGGAAGGACATGGCGTCTGAAATCTAGCTCAGTGCTGCGTTGTGCCGCCATGATCTTCCCAACGGTTGCACGTTGCACGCGCCTTTTGCATCGACTCACATTGCGCTACTTTTCAAACATGAAGGGTCGCTGGAAGGGGCTTTACTGGCATCCTGACTACAGCGCCACTTTTTCGTCATGAAGCGGCGGCACGTGGAACTATCCAAGAATGCGGAGCGCTCGATACGCCTACAACCTAGACCACAGGGTTTTACTGTGCTGATGGCGCCGATGCCACCGACATACATTTTTTTAATAGGCGCCTCTCATTACTGCGATAGCCATGGTCACATCGCAGCTGAGAACAAATCAATTAGATATTTTGCGCTACAGCGACAGCACGGGACTCGTCCCACCCCCGGTACGATGCGCAGCAGGTCGTCAGCACAACCGCCGCTTCTCCGCTGCCGTCAGCTGTTGCAGCGGTATCAATAAGAACAAGGAAACGCGCTGTCACTGTCTGGCGTAGCAGAAAATGCACAAAGTTTTTTTATGGGCTTAAGCTTTATTAAATTTTATTTTGTCAGGATAAGCTCGCAGGGCAGAGTAGATGTAAAAAGAAAAATATGCAGCACGCCGTCTTGGGTGATCACGACTTTAAAACACGTACTAATAGTACAAATCTCGCCACATGCGTTTTTTACGATTGCGAAAGGCGATGTAATCTTAACAGCGATATAGTAACGCAGAAATTGATTTCGTGATCACATAGACGTTGCGAGAGTTCAGAAATGCTAATAAATTTTCTCGGGTGATGATAACGCGTCAAAATTCGAATCCTTCATACACCCCTTTAAATACAGTACGCACCAGTAATATCTTGAACTTGAGCACACGCATCACTCTAAAAAAAGTATGTGCGTCTGCTTTCACGCACAACACTTGGAGAACCAATCATCGCAACTTTCGGATGCAGCTCAGCGAATGACGATGCCGAAACATCTTTTTTGACCAAAAAACGCAGACTGAGTTGTGACATTAAGCAATGCAAGCGTGACGTTTTGCATTGCTTAATGTCACAACTCAGACTGCGTTTTTTGGTCTAAACAGATGTTTCGGCATCGTCATTCGCTGAGCTGCCTCCGTAAGTTGCGCTGATTCGCTCTCCGAGTGTTGTGCGGGAAAGCAGACTCACGGTTTTTCTTAGAGTGATGGAATGCTCAAAATAAGAAATCCTGGCAATGTTCCAGGAGACAAATGCTAAGAAAACACCGTGCACTGTAGTCGAAGTAAACAAAGATGACGGCACGAGCGCTGCTGTCTTGAGGGTGCCGCCACAACATCGCCGCACGAGTAGATGAATCTTCCCTTCAAGGACGTGCTGGGTTTTCATCGCGACAGACGACTAAAATTCAGTCAAGGAAACAATGCGCTTCCACCACGCCGACTACGGCGATGATCACCACCGACGTCATGTCTTTTTAGCACTGCAGGAACCACGACGGACGCAGGCGCAGTCTTACTTTTCTCTTGCTTTGTTTACCACACGATAGATCGTGCATAGCTCTTAGCATTATAAAATTCGGCAATTTCCGTCACATCACTAATTATTCAACAAAATGTGGATCGGAATATTCTTTAACAAAACTTTTAGGAAACATTCGCCGGCTATTTATTGTTTATGATCGCGGTGCTGGTGAGGTATAGCCAAGGGTATAGCCCTTATCCAATAGGCGACGTCGATTTGGCTGACTTACCGTGGCACCGCGCATGCAGCGCAGTGAAAAGGCAAAGACCTTTCGAAGGAAAGAAGGTGTAAAATAGTCTGTCCTTCTTTTACAAGTTCTATAGCAAAAAAAAAAAAAAAAAGTTTTGGCTCTCTATTTTTTTGTGTTTTGGTTTTCTTTTCACACCTTTTACGACGTCCGGTGGATGAAATTCGATTTCAAAAGCCGGGGATTCCAATGTATCCTGATTTTTGAAAATTCCATAAAAATCACTAAGTGGCGATTCGCAATATCTTTCTGTGGTAAATTCAGTCGAATGTGTCGAAATATACGGGAGCGCTAGCGCGAGCGCACCTTGAGCACCCATCAAAGCTGCGCAGATCAAAGCTGTGCGAGACGCCGTGAATCTGAGACGAAGAGGACGAAGGCGCCACGAGGGAGAGCGCGAGATCGCGTGTACCGCGCAGGCCCAGTCTCGCATTCGGAACGAGGGCAGTCCATGGGGTCGGACGCAGGTTCGGGCCCGCTGGAAGCTCACGAACCAGCCAAGAGTCCCGAAGAAGAGCCTACGATGCGCTTGCACTCTAAAAAAAAGCCCGTGCGTCTACTTTCCCGCACAACACTCGGAGAGCCAATCACCGCAACTTACGGAGGCAGCTCAACGAATGACGATGCGGAAACATATGTTTAGACCAAAAAACGCAGTCTGAGTTGTGACATTCAGCAATGCAAAACGTCACGCTTGCATTGCTTAATGTAATAACTCAGGCTGCGTTTCTTGGTCTAAACATATGTTTCGGCATCGTCATTCGCTGAGCTGCCTCCGTAAGTTGCGGTGATTGGGTCTCCGAGTGTTGTGGGGGAAAGTAGACGCACAGGCTTTTTTTAGAGTGATGGCGCTCCTTGCCGACATCCAGGGAAAGTCCGCGTTCCCATTCGGCGCCCGACGTCGCCTGCCCGCGAG